ATCCGATTAAAACCGGATAGCCCAACTTTAGCCCATCACTCCAGCCAACCCACTCAACAAATTATGCCCCCAAGCCCAACTAAAGGCTTTTGTAATTAACTAAAGTTTGGAGGAGTTTCATGCAATTAAGATTGTCATCAATTAATTTTATACTATTAACATTCTAATCAATTATTATTATTATTATTATTATTATTATTATTATTATTATTATTATTATCTCTATAAAAGAACAAGTAAGAAGTTACTATTGCATAATGTTCCATCACAAAGGGTGCTCTTTTGTAAAATTATCCGATATGACATTTGTGTCCCAAACTATTTTTTCGTTATAGTTGACTGGCATTGACCGTTAATTTTTAACAGAAACTTTAGTCAGCGCTGATGTGGCATTTGACGTGGAATTTATAATAATTTTCCATATAAATGAATAAACTAAAACAAAAACAAAATTACAACAAAAAAAATCTCCTCCCAGCTCCCAACTTCTTCCTTTTCTCTCGTCCTCAACTCCATCTGCCATCCAAATCTTCTTCTCTCGTCCCCCAACTCCAACTCCATCCTTCCCCTCCATTAGCACCAAACCCTTTCCTCTCCATCTTCTTCTTTCCCGTTGTGTCTTCCCTCGATAACCACTCTTCTTCCCGAATAAACACTGCACTCCTCAACAATAACTCTGCCGCCACGCTTCCACTACTGTCGACGAGAGCGGTGAAGAGGATATGGCAATAGCGGCAGTGAGAGCGGATCTGCCATGATTGGGTAGAGAGCAGTTTCACATACTACATAGGAGCCCGAACGTCGGCGGAGAAGGAGGATTTCGATAACTGGTCATTCTTTTGCAGGATTTTGGTGACAAGACAACCGTGGCGGAAGACACCATCGAATCTGCAGAGGGAGAAGCATGAGGATCAGGCGCGAAGTAATTGAGGTAAGCTGGTGGGTTTGAAAATGGCGAGGGAGCTATTGCTAACAGAGCCGCTGGCAGATCTGGATTGAGGTCGCCGATCTGGGTTGCTCTATCCTTCCATTATTTCTCCGTCACCGCCAATACGCTGGACTGTGCCCCCTTTGCTATTAGTGGCTTCGATTTCGACGACCGGATTGCTCGGACTTGCGACGATGGAGGGTGGGGTTGGGATAGCTACCGGACTTGCGATGGTGGGTTTGCTGAATGGGGGAGAGCAATAGATAAGAAGGGAAAGGGTCGGGTAATTCTTTTTTCTTTTATTTTTTGTTTTAAAATTTTGAATGATTAATATGGTTGAGTTTATATTTTTTTAATTTTTGTTTTTTTAATTCAGTATTTTTTTAATTTGGAATTAAAAATATGAGGTGTCAATGACATGGCATCTACGTGTTTGCCACATCAGCAATAGTCAACATCAAGTTGACCACCGTCTGGTCAACCGTTATATATAACGGTCAACAAAATCTTCAGGACATTAATGCCACAAAATTATAATAGGTTGGGACATAAATGTCATATCGGATACTTTAGGACACAAATGACACAAAGTTAATAGTTCGGGTTTCCTAGTGGTATTAGCCCAAAACTTAATTAATTAATTAATTAATTAATTTTTATATATTTTCTCTCACCCTCCCTCTTCTTTCCGTTCCTCAACCGCCGTCCATGAGAGCTTTCGTTGGAAGAGGGAATTATATGGGTTTGGCAAATAGGGAAAGAAGACAGAAGAGGGCAGTTCTTAGTTCTGATTTTGAATTGGGTTGCTAAATAGAGAAAGAAGGCAGAAGAGGGAATTATATGGGTCAATTAATTGCTTCTTTCTTTTCTCGCATCAAAGGCTCTACAAAGGGGGGATTGGGTCTCGACCAAATTGGGAGGGAATGGGAGGCCGACTGTGGTCAGGCTTCATCGCGGTAAAGGAATATCGAAGCAGATATGAAGAAGAATGTGATGACGGTGGTCGATGATGTGACGGCGGACTGGTGATGGTCGACGATTTGGAGGAAGAAGAAGAGATGCGGCAGAGGGACTCCGAATCCATGAAACAGATGAACCCCCCCCCCCCCCCCCCCCCCCCCCCCCCCCCCCCCCCCCTCTTCGTCCGTTTGGGACTTCTGGGTTTTGTAATGAATCGACTGCGAAGACGGGGATGGCACGAAACAGCGGAGGCGAAGGATGTTGGGGAATGAGGAGGCGGAATGAGTTCCGCGACGGGTGCGGCGGGGCTGATTTAATCGACGGCGGCGGTTCAAAGGAGGAGGTGGAGATGGGTTCCGAAACCCTAAACGCAATGGGGAAATGAAAGAAGAAGGAGGGAGAACAAAGCACGGGTGTCCACTTAGATAGGTTTTTTTTTAGTGACGTGTCTATTCCACCTGTCACTGAAGTCTGAGGTGGAAAAGTAAAAGAGGGTGAGTTGGCAGTCATGTTAGCATTCTGTTAATTTCACTGACGGTGTCACTAACGCTGTTAAAGTATGTAACGAAAATGACTATATTTGTCATCAAACTTTAAAATTTATGGCTCTTTGGAATTTCTCCAAAAGTGGCTATTATTTTTTTTCCGCAAAGTCAGTTGTTATAAAATGAGACATACAAAGAAAATAAAAAGAGCGCGAGAGTCGACCAATAGTTGAACTCCCGATGAGAGGACCTTTTATGCCACATGATGGGCAGCCCTATTGAGACAGCAGAGAACAAAACAGTAAGAAACCCAACTACAGAGAGAAGCCGAGCTCTGAGCATCCTGCAAGATAGTTCCATCCTGATTATGAGCCAAGTCATCCTGATCATGTAACAAAAGTGGCTATTATTTTCATAAACGTCAAAGTTTTGGCTACACAGATGAATTTTGCCTAAAATCAATATATTCCTAGTTGTGAGAAGATTTAACTGTATTTAAGTGCTACAATTCTTCAATCTTTACTTCTATATTTACTTTCCAAGTTTTACAACCAACATGGTTATATATGCCATATTCTAATTTTAGAACGAGCTAATCTGTGTTTCCTTAATCACTCTCATGAATCAAGATTGAGCTTATTACATATTTTGTGAGTTAATATAATATCCATTGCGAAACAAAAAATATATTGTTTCACTGTTGTTTTAACTAGAGGTTAGTCAATATGCAATCCAAGCTAATATACGATCTCACAACTTAAAAGAGGAGTTGGATTCTTCAATGTCCAGTTTCGAGGAAGTGGCTTCCAATCAATCACAAACCGCGTATTATTCTTTGCCACGATATGATAGTTATTGACTCGAAGTGTAAACTAACAACGACGACGTGAATTCAACTCTAAAATCCAAATTTTGAAAAATTATTCATATTCCTACTTTTTTCTTTAGTATAATGATATCCAGATGAAAATTCCCAAAGGGCAAATCAACAACTATTGTCCTCTGTTTTGTGACCAAAGAGTTTACAATATCAAGACTGTATGACTAGTATGACAATGAGAGATTATAGGCCAATTCTAACCAAAATGGTCATCAAGTTTGAATCAAATACACAAGCAGAAACATTTGATGATATTCCAACCATACCAGCTAACAAGTTTTATTTCATCCAACAATATGAGATTGACAAGAAGTGCAGCCAAAAACATTAATTAACTTTTTAAAAATTTCAATCTACAGATGTTGTTGGTCTGCTTATTCGGTATTCGAGTTTATTAACACCTAACAATCATAGAAAAAATTACCAGCAAGGAAGCTCCTACTTAAAATTCCCGAGTATGTAATTCTTTCTATTTTCAGTTTAAAATAGCATGCATTACTTTGATTCTAATCACAAATCTAATATAGAATTTGAGTGCAGGGGATTGGTTGTCAAGGTAATCCCTTTGGTAGGATAGTTACCCAATGAAATGTCATTTATGCAAATGTGGGTAACTGTCCTCTCATCTTGGTCATTACATCATTACATGTCGTTTCATTTTCATAAAATGATAAGAAAACATCTTTATAACTTTGTCATTATTGATCAAACCATTTGGAAAATAAATATGACATTTAATTAAACAATTGTCAAATTTGCAAGCGAGAAAATCTTCTTCTCATCTGGAGCAACTTTGATGTTGGCAAATCCAAGAATTCCATAAATCATTAATTTTGGGCCAACGTGAAATTCATGACAATTCAATCACTATATTTGGTTGCGCGTTATAAATTTGAAGTTTCAAATTGAAAAATGGATTAATTATCATCTTTTTTTTTCTCAAAATGTGACTGAGATTGACCAACTCTTCCAGTGAAAAGCACGAAAGCACCTCAACAACTAAATTTCAACCAAAATTGTGCAAACGCTAAATCAATTAAAAATGAATTATGGAAAAGAGGTAGGTATCCATTTAAATGTATTGACCCATTCACTATCAAACAATAACATTTTATGTAATATGTACTTAGTCAAAAACAAAGTTGTCAAAGTTAAGAAGGGTCGTGTTATCCTGGATGTGAAACCTGTCAACAAAAGTATCAATTTCTATTGTTGTTTATGTCATTATTAACATTATACTTATTCAGGATTTACCTTCGAGTTGTGGACAAAACCACTGAGGCTAACTTTTGTTTTACGGATCGACTGCAAATGGCGGATGTACTAGATCCAGTGCTAGATGACGATGATCTTGAGCAGAAGAAAGACATTGTTCATGAGGAAGATACAACTACCAGTGATGAGGAGAAAGAATAAATCTTGGATATTGTTCATAACTTGGATGAGATAAATTTCCCTCCAATGAAAAAGGTAATTGGTATTAGTAAATAGTTTTACCATCATATTTTTATGCTCAATAAAATGCAGGAAAACAAGGAAGAAATTATTGAAATGGAAGAGGAGAAAGAAGAAAAAAATTGATAATGGAGATGAATACATTAATATTGGAGATGAATACATTAATATTGGTGTAGATGATGATGTTGCTCATGATGGAAGAAGAGCAAACAATTCAAAAAGAAAATGTGTAGTGATCTCTCACTACGAGGTGTAAATAGAAGGATGATTTTGAAAAAATTGAGGTTTTCACTTATTTTCAACTTGATTATAATTAAAATATAATGTAATAAGAGGAAAATTTTAAATAATTTGACTAAGATAACATGTAATTTAGACAAGAACGGGTCGAGAATGGGACGAGTTAGTGCAGGTCAGATCAATGAGACATACTCATGCCCGCCCGGCCCCGCCTACGAGCCGGGTCCGACCCGACACAAAACAGGCCAAACAGATCAGATAAATCGGCTCAAGATCAAAATTCTCCTCCCTAAATAAATACCAAATACAAAAGAGAGACCCAATCCGTAAATTTTTCTTTGTCCAGTTAGAAGGAAACGTGGACAAAGCACACAACGTTACCAAATTTTCTTACTCTTCTCTCACATTTTCAGAATGTTTGGTTTATCTCATTCACATTTACTTGACAACATAAAATTGCACTCGTCATCATTGTCACAATCACTATCCTCTCTTTTATCTTTATCTGCAACTGAGAGGATTAGTCAAACTAACATTAATCAAAACGGCCAAATCGTTCCAAAGAAGAGAAAAAAGCCAATCTATCCATCCATCCAACGACACATCCCTATCATATTCCCAAAACAAAACCCCATCACAACCCAACCAATTTCCGAACCACTCTAATAATTGAAACTCCATTGATGATGCTTCTTCCATAATTGAATCCTCCCTCGACAATACACAGAACGCCAATTGATTGATTTGATTCTCTCCAATATTCATATCTCAACCCTCCAATCCTCCATCCAACACCATCTCCTGGTACCTGCACTCTCCACTGCAGAACGCCTTCTCCCCTCTGTAAAAACAAAAATGGGTTAGCAATTAGTAAAAGCAGTAATCGGACTTTTGAGAGACACTGAAAAATAGACGACGAACCTGTAAATGAAGATGTCACCCTTCTGCTCGAGGCTCTTCTTGCACGTATAGCAGATGCTAAGGAAGTTTTTGTTATCGGGAACGGTAGAGCCCGAATCCTCTGAAACCCCGAAGTAATTCTCCACAACGCAGTTATCAAATATATGGGTCGTCTTCGGATTAGCTCCCCTGGAGATTACGCAGGTGTAATCCTCCGACAGCTCCATCTCCGTCGCCGACAGACACTCAGTGACAACCCGGGGAGATTCCTTGGAAGAATCCGGCAGCTGGGGGTTACTAATCCTTGTCCTGATTCCGAATTCCGCCGGAGATTTGGGAGGTGAGGATGAGTCTGGAAGCAGGGGAGGTGGGATTTGGACTCTCAGTTTAAGCCCGCTGATGGGTTTTGGTTTCTTCTCGGACTCGGAGTCGGCAATTAGTGCGACCCCGATGCCCTTGGAGTAGTACTCCACCAATTTTTCCCACTGGTGTTTGGTTTCCGGTAAAAATTTGGGGGATGGTTGTTGTTGAAATGGGCTTCGTAGAGCAGAGAAGGGTTTGACAGAGTCGATAATGGAGGTTGGACTGATGATTTGGTCGGCTTCGGATGTGAAGGCTTTGAACCTTGGGGAAGCGAGGAGGGATTGGATGATGGGTTTTGTCTGATTTTGGGTGGTTGTCGGTGGAGGTTGAGAAGTCTGGTGATCAGTCGCCATTGAAGCTTGCTTCCTAGCTACTGCTCTGGATCTGTGCCTTACCAGCATAACTGTTTGTTTTTCCTACTGTGCTGCTTTTCGATTTCAGCTTCAGACCAAAAATTGGAAAAGGGAAAACAATTAACAAGCTTGAATGGAAACTTGCTTTAGATTCATCCAAGTAAAATACGAAACAGAGCAAAATGAAGAAGAGGAAGAAGAAGAACTCACCAGGTATCCCAGAGAAGACAAAAACAGAGGAAGTCTCCTTTCTTTCTTCCTAACAAAAAAAGATGGTCACTTGCTGAAAAAGAGAGAGGCACGAAGTTTGAGGGAAACTGGACAAGGCTGCTGCTCTGCTTCAAGTCTCTGTAGACTCCATAAGTGAGCAAGTCCGTCTCAGTTTTGCTTTTCCTCAAAAATTTCAGCTGGATTTTTTTCTCTACAGACTGAAAAAGGGGTTTTCTTTTGGGGTGAAAGGATCAAGAAGAAGAGGAATCTATTCCATTCATCATAGTCCGCATGGAGCAACCCACATGATCCAGAAACGGATGAAAATTTCCACCACCAAAAAAGTGAAAGAAAACTGAAAACAGAGACCAGAAAAGGGGATTCAGGACTGTACTACTACTGGGAGCGACAACGGGCTTTAGTGCCAATCCCAAGGGGAACAGAAAAATAGGGGAAGAGATTGAATCACAGCTTCTTTTTTTTTTTTTCTCCAGAGAGAGGACTGAGAAGGAAAGGAGATGGGGTTTTCTGTTTCTTTTACCTCATTCCCCTCCTTTTCCTCCCATGATCAGTTTCAGAAGTCTGTCACAACCACACCAAGTTCTTTCCCATCCCCTCTACCATACCATCTCTCTTTTTCACTCTGTCACAGTTTTCCTACTGCAGAAAATCGCCAGAAATTTAGCAACTTTGCCAGAGGAGAGAGAGATAAGTGACGATGAAAAGGAAAAGGAAAGAAGGGGATAGATTAGATTAGATGGAGTTGGAGTTGGAGTTGGAGTTGGAGTAGGAGAATAATAAATATTTCCAACTTGAAAGGGAAGAGCCAAAGTTTGGTGTGCCTTTTTAAAGAAAAATGAGGCCCCTCTCTTCTGAAACTGATGAAAGCAGAGAGAGATGGAGAGATATAGAGACGTGTGCATGGGTGTATAATGTATACAGAAGAAAGCAACAGAAGAGCAATAAAAAACTAGAGTATTGAGATCAGCTCCATCAAGTGAAGTATTGTACTAAACTTGTTTTTGGTTGAAGCAGAGAGTACTGTATTTTGTACTGTCCAAAGCGGTGGGTTTCTTTTCTTTCGATGCTCTTCTGCTTGAAGCCATTAACACCATAACTAAACTACTGATTATCATTTGCGCATAAGGAAGAAAATTGTATCTTATAAGCAAAAGGTCACGCCCATCATTTGACGTCTCTCTCTCTCTCTCTCACCTCTATCTATGGGCCAATCTAAAGTAAAGTAAAAGTGGGTTTGGGGCAGAGCTGTCCCATTCCATAATTCTTTGCTGAATCAAACGGACCTCTTGAGTGGACGTAAGTTTGGGCCAATGATCTGCTCCCTCAGACTCATAATTCCACCCATCTCTCACCTCTACGGGTAAAGACGTAAAGTATAGATAAGTGATTTGTGTTGTGTGTATGGTTTTGTCAATTTATCGTAATAGGGTTCTCAACTTTTTTCAAGGCCTAATGGTGATCGCTAATGACAATCTGATAGAGTTGTGCAAAGTTGTAGTCCAGCTAGTTTCATACACAAGCTCACTCCATATCTCTTAGTTAACACCCATCCAACTCAAAAATCTTTATGACTTGGAAGACTAGTATATATCCTGCTGATAAAATTGCTTGGGTGCATCTAATCCATATCACACAAGGATTACACAATGAAGATGAAAAAGAAGGCCCGAAGAGTGACTACATGGAGAAGAACGTTTTATCAAAGAAACGTTTCATATGTCTCTATAGTGTGTTGTCTAGCTGTTGGGCTTCGTTTCGTTTAGTTGCATTAATCGTTTGTTAATTTATTGTTTAGTGTAAGTGTAGCCAATGGAAGACATGTGGTAGTCCTATGTAATTATTGTTCGTTACTTAATGTAAAAGGCGCAGAGCAACTCATTGTTGATGTGTTGGTTTTCCTTACAATTTAACCATATCTAGAAAATTCTCATGGTATTCGAGACGTCGATCTAGGCCAGCTACCACTCTAGCAAGTCCGACCAACAGCGTTGCCATCTAGAAATTAGCCAAACATCCTTATCCAAGATAGTTGTAACATTACAGTAGTCACTTGAATCTTGAATTCGTTGCAAAAGGATACTAAGCATTCTGCAATGAGTCATGAGAATGCGAAGTCATTTGGGATGAGATCCAACGTAGATCTGGTCAATTGCCAATCAATTGACAAACCTGAAAATGAGATACATGGATGGGAGTGTGGTACTGTGTCTATCACTCAATACTACATGCTCAATAAGATTTTATGAGATTAGTATATAGACTAATAGTAGAATGTCACTGCATCTCAGGCAATCAAAATCTTGTACTGTTGTGGTTGCTTATAATCGTAGTCGGCGACTGATTCCCTTATCAAGTTTCTCAAGGGCATTAACCTTGAGTACGAAGTGTCTAGAAGCAACGGTTGATGTTGAAGTCATCACTAACTACGGTTGATGTAGCAATGACTTGTTGCAACATGAATGACTCACTCCTACTGTCACTCTAGAAAATGGCCAAGTGTAACCACTTCCTAAAGCGTAGTATAGCGGGTTTGGGTTTTAATGTCAACCCGGGTCCTAGATGTGATGACTACTCAGTGAATTCTTATTATCTAGCAGTGAAACTTAAGTGCAGGCTCAAACAAGCAAAAACACAAAGCAAGTTAAACGGTTGTTTCAAGTCGAGAGAGGTCACCCGGATATGGTTCCCCCTAGACTGCAGTTAAGCCGGATTGCAATTACTAAGTTCAGTTTCTATGAAAGTTATACTGCGGAAGGTTCTTAAACAGTCTGAAGTCTCGACTAAAGGTCTCCAGACCCTCTCAATCTGAGTCCCCAGCGGGCGACTAACCTCCACCAGAGTAAACAGATTGAGGCCTAATGAACCAAACCTCCACTATCGAAGTAAATTCGGTACAGAATAGTGAATTGACTCCTCGACTAAAGTCTCCAATTCACCACCTTCAATTAAGGGTGCTCTATTAACCTAGGCAGATATTCTCTTTCTAGGTTAAAGCAGAAATAACAGGAATTTGATCAGGATTCAAGTCGTTCAATCATTCAAGCCTCAATTGAACATAATCAAATCATAAAATATGTACTTGGGTTCATACAATCAGACCTAACATACAAATCTAGGGTTCTCCATACCCAGATGAATGAGAAAACTACTCCATGGAGAAAGAAGCAAAAGCAGATTCAGATGCGAAACTATACTGAGAAGGATGGGTTTCTGCTCCTGGGCGTCGATCGGCACTTCTCCAAGCTCAAGCTGGGCTCCAATGGTGATGAAGATCAAGCTAGGGCACTTGGGAACTCTTGTTCGTCGCTTTCTCTCTCTAGGAATCGCTCTGTCTCTCTACAACTCGGAACTCCCTCACTTGTGGCTGGAAATTGGCTTAAAACCAGAAAATCCCGACTCACACGGCCATGTCACACGGTCGTGTGACTCTCCCAGCTGCCCGTGTGGCTTTGCAAAACGCGGCGTTTCGTTAAGTGACTTCAGGCTTCCTACGCGGCCACGACCCACACAGCCGTGTGAGTGACCAGGCTGCCCGTGTGGGATTTGTCGAGCCTTCACACGGCCACAATGGGTCTCCTACACGACCGTGTGGCCTTTGGGCATGCCCGTGTGGCTTCTCAGCTTCTCGCCAAACGTCCAGACTTCGTCCAATCGACCCCGAACTCATTCCTAAACCTTCATTCACGTCCTAGGACCTGAAATATCACAAACAAGAACAACCTAGCGTGAAATCGGCCTAATACGCGGGAATCGACATCTCAAATGGCTCAAGAATAGGGGTAGAAACATGCGTAATTATTGGTCTATCAAACTCCTCCACACTTAACCGTTTGCTTGTCCCCAAGCAAACCTAACTCAAACCAATGCAGCTCTCCAGACCTCTATAGCAACAAACAACCCCGATCGTCGGTAGAGGATTTTCTAGATCATATAGCAGCTTACGAGGTCAACTGGTCTTTTAAGACATTCCCTATCTCTCTCAATGCGAGTAATAGACTCAAGCCAGGATCATGAGAAGAAGTAGAAGTAAGACAGTCAGTTCATGGATAAAGGGACTCACAACATTCACAACCAAAGGCTCGTTGTACCGGGGTGCTCTTTCACTTCATTTCATCGTTGGAACCCCTTTTTCACTTTCATTTTACTTTTTTTCTTCTTTTTATTCACTTGGTGGGGGTTCCAACTGCAGTCTTTTGCACGATCGACCCTTATTAGTCGAGCAAGAGCAATTTATGTACATCTGGCACTCGCCAAAGTACTTCTTTTAACTCCTTTTCCTCAACTCGTGTGGAGGGTCAATGAAATTAAGGGGGTTCGGAAGCTGTATCCGTGCCCTTAAAAACACATCCTCAAGTAGGCAAACCGTTCAACGGGTGGAAGTTTTACTTGTACTAGAGACGGCTTAGCTTCACCTTGTAGGAGTACCCCACTAAGGATCACTAAAATCTCTTCCAAAACCCGATTTTGTGCAATGAACGGTGCCGCACACGTTGAGCTTACCCCATGTTTAAGATTTAATGATTTTGACATGGAGGACCAACTGCATTTCATTTTTCACATGAGCACCCTGTTCGATACACGAGTCCATAACACAATCCAATCAGAGTCCACATTACCACATGAATTCAACGGTCTTAGCTCCACTAATTCACAAAATCAACTGGCACAGCAGAGAGCTAGATAGGAAAAATCTTATACTTCAACATCCTCCATAGTGCTACACTACCTCCCTAGGTTGCACATTACTATAGAGACTGTCAATTCAAAGCATACTGAGCAGGCAATTTGCAAGGAAATACATACTTGGAGCCCTCAAATTTAAAAATTTGGACAGTGGACTAGGCTCCAAGCACACAAACAGATCTAATGCAGTCAAAAGATAAACATCCCCCCTACACTTAAGATCGACATTGCCCTCAATGGAGAAGAGGGAAGGATAAGGGGAACGATGTTACCGGTGTGCACAGACTACATGAGACTAGAAGCGGACCCGTCGAGTGAAGCGGACTGGAGAGGGACCAGTCTGGAAGAAAGCACAGCTAAAGGGGAACATAAGAGCTCAAACACAATATGTTAGGTCCAATGGTCAGCCCAATAATAAATCATCCAAAACAAAAGAAAACAAACCAAAACCAAACCGGTTTAAAATCTGACTCAAAACAAAAGAAAGAAAGTCAAACCGTGGTGGGGTTGCCTCCTCACAAGCGCTTCTTTACCGTCTTTTAGCTGGACGCCCATGGCGGAACTAAGGGTCCGCGAGTTCCACTGTCAACTCCGCATGTTCGACCTCGTCTCCCAAGTAGAGCTTGAGACGATGGCCATTTACTTTAAACGGTTCAGTCTGCGGGGTGGCAATTTTGATCGTCCCGAACGGGAACACCTGTGTGACCGTGAACGGTCCAGACCACCGGGAACGGAGTTTTCCGCGAAAGAGCTCCAGGCGAGAGTTATAAAGGAGAACTCGATCACCAAACTGGAACTCTTTCGGACCCCGCAACAGTGCATCGTGCAGGCGCTTAGTGCACTCCTTATACAACTTGGTGTTCTCATAGGCGTGATAACACCATTCCTCTTGCTCCAGCATCTGCATTTTGCGCTCAACACCTGCAACACTAACATCCAAGTTTAGAAGCTTAAGGGCCCAGAAGGCCTTGTGCTCTAGCTCCACGGGCAAATGGCATGCCTTTCCATAGACGAGCCGGTACGGTGAAGTACCAATGGGTGTCTTGTAGGCAGTGCGGTATGCCCATAGAGCATCATCGAGCTTGGTGGACCAATCCTTGCAGGACTGATCCACCGTCTTTTTCAGGATACGTTTGAGCTTCCGGTTCGTCAGCTCGGCATGGCCACTTGTTTGAGGGTGATAGGCCACGGACACCTTATGAGTCACACCATAGCGAGACAGTAACTTATAAAACTGGCCCTGGAAATGGGTGCCTCGATCGCTTATGATGGCTCTAGGTGTCCCGAACCGGGAGAATAACTGCTTCAGAAAACCACAAACACGTCCAGCATCATTAGTGGGCAAAGCTTGCGCCTCAGCCCACCTAGAGACGTAGTCAACAGCAACAAGGATATATGTATTACCAAAAGATGGAGGGAAGGGGCCCATGAAGTCGATACCCCAGACATCAAAAATCTCACAAGTTATAAACACATTCTGGGGCATCTCATCACGGGTAGAGATGTTACCTGACCTCTGGCATCGGTCGTACCTGCGTGCGAAGGTGTCTGCGTCCTTGAAGAGCGTGGGCCAGTAGAAGCCCGACTGTAGCACCTTCCTCGCTGTGCGGTTTCCTCCGTGGTGACCGTCAGTAGGTCCTTCATGACAGTGAGATAGAATGCCCTCCATCTCACTCTCCATAACACAACGACGGATGAGCTCGTCGGCTCTGATCCTCAAGAGATGACGGTCATCCCAGAAGTAGTGATTCAGGTCGGAGAAAAATTTCCTCTTGGTGTGAGTTGTCATCCCCTTGGGCAGCCGCTGGCCCACCAGATAGTTCGCAAAATCGAAATACCACGGGGTGGCAATCTCCACCAGGTACATCATCATCAGTCGCTCATCTGGGAAGGAGTCGTTGATCTCCTCCTCGAGGTTGTCCACGGGAGGTGCGTCCAATCGGGAGAGGTGATCAGCTGCAACATTCTCCGCTCCCTTCTTGTCACGAATCTCAATGTCGAACTCCTACAATAATAAGATCCATCGTATGAGCCTAGGCTTGGCATCGGCCTTGCTCATCAGGTATCGAATCGCGGAGTGATCTGTATAAACAGTCACATGGGACAAGACCAGATAGGGGCAAAATTTGTCGAAGGCAAACACCACCACGAGCAGCTCCTTCTCCGTGGTGGTGTAGTTCTCCTGGGCATCATTTAGGGTCTTCGAGGCGTAGTAGATAGGTCGGAAGTGTTGATCTCGCCTCTGCCCCAAGACAGCTCCAACAACAAAGTCACTGGCATCGCACATCAGCTCAAATGGTAGGGACCAATCAGGAGCAACCATGATAGGAGCTTGGGTGAGCTTCTCCTTCAAGGTCGTGAATGCCGCTGTGCATGCATTAGTGAACTGGAAGGGGGCATCCTTCCCAAGAAGCTTAGTCAGGGGCAGGGCAATCTTTGAAAAATCCTTGATGAACCTCCAGTAGAACCCTGCATGGCCTAAAAAACTCTGAATCCCCTTAACAGATGTAGGAGGAGGCAGCTTACTAATAGTCTCGATCTTTGCTCTGTCCACCTCAATCCCCATCTTGGAGATCCTATGCCCCAGAATATGCCTTCGCGAACCATGAAGTGGCACTTCTCCCAACTCAGTGCCAGGTTCGTTTCTTCACACCGTTTAAGGTCCAATGGGATCCTCCGGTAGGCAAATGTGCCGAAGGGACAGGTGAAAGTGGTCTTTGCCTGGTCCTCCGGTGCAATGGGGATCTGGAAGTACCCGAAAATCCCATCCAGGAAACAGTAGAACTCATGCCCCGCCAGTCTCTCCAGCATCTGGTCAATGAACGGCAGCGGAAAGTGGTCCTTCCGAGTGGCGTCATTGAGACGCCGATAATCAATGCAGACACGATACCCAGTCACCGTGCGCATCAGGATGAGCTCATTCTTCTTGTTAGGCACCACGGTCATCCCACCCTTTTTGGGTACCACCTCGGTGGGACTAACCCACTCGCTGTTGGAAATGGCGTAGATGATCCCAGCGTCCATCAGCTTCACGATCTCTGCCCGAACCACAGCCTCCAGGTTCGGTGTCAGTCTTCTCTGCGGCTGTCTCACTGGTCGCATCTCATCCTCCAGCAGTATCCGGTGGGAGCAAAAGGAGGGGCTGATCCCCCGATTATCTGTGATCTTCCATGCTAGGGCTCGCTCGTACCGCTACAACAAGGCCACCAGTCTGTCCTTCTGCTCGGGCGTGAGGGTCGAGCTAATGATGACTGGAAGCTTATTCCCCTCCCCGAGAAATGCATACTCCAAATGAGGAGGGAGGGGCTTAAGCTCCAGCTCTAGTGGTTCCTCCAAGGAGGTAGTGATGCGGGGTGAGGATGAGATCGGTTTGAACAGCCTGTCGCCCTCCAAAAATGGGCCACTCTCCAGTGCGGCCAACTGCTCCACCAGCTTCGGCTCCTGCGATGCCTGCTCACCTAGCAAAATACAACGCTCAAGAGCATCGTCAGTACCCGCACTCGTTATAGCGAGTGCGGTCTCAAAATCAGCAAACACATCACAGTAATCTACGTCATCATGCAAATGGGAGTGTTTCCCATTCTCAGACACAGAAAAAGTAGCCTGTTCATCACCAACACGCAGAATCAATTTACCACTATGCACATCAATAAGCGCCTTGGCGGTGGCGAAAAACGGTCTACCCAAAATCAAGGGTACATCCACATCCTCATTTATATCCAAAATAACAAAGTCAACAGGATATGTGAATGCACCCACATTAACAAGCAAATCTTCAATGATACCCCTAGGATGCACGATGGAACGGTCAGCTAACTGAATGCTCATCCTAGTAGCTCTAGGTTCACCTAGGTCTAGCTTTTTAAACAATTTGTAGGGCATGACATTTATGTTAGCGCCTAGGTCCGCCAAGGACTTTCCTACATGCATGCTGCCAATAACAAGAGGGATAGTGAAACTCCCTGGGTCTTTACGTTTCTCAGGCTGCTTGTTCTGCATGATAGCAGAACACTCCTCGCTCAGCATCACTATCGAAAGATCCCCAAGTTTCTTCTTGTTGGTGAGGAGGTCCTTCATGAACTTGGCGTACTTGGGCATCTTCGACAGTGCCTCCACGAACGGCATGCTGATGTTGACCTGCTTCAACATTGCTATGAATTTGGCAAACTCAGTCTCCAGCTTGTCTTTATGTAGGCGAGTGGGGAAAGGAAGATGGGGTACATGCTCCTTACCACTGGCTGTGGCTTGGGAGCAGGTGCTTCTTTGTCTCCCCCCACTTCTGCATTATCAGCTGGAAGTGTTGAAGCAGGTAGTGGCTCATCTTGGCTGGGCTGGGCAGGAGCAGCAGATGTGGTCTTGCCACTCCTGGTAGTGATGGCATCAAGCTGCTGGTGCTGGTGAGGCTCACGCGGATTCGGAATAGTGGTGGCAGGCAGAGCCCCCGGTGCCCTGGTAGTGTTTTGGCGAGCCATGCTACCCATCTGGTTCTGCAAATCTTGCAAAATGACACCTTGGTTCCTCTGACCTACCTCCAGTGAGGCTATGCTCTACTGGGTAGTAGTCATGAATGCCGCTAGAATGTTTTTCAGCTCCGTCATCTGATTATTTGGAGCCGGCGCTGCTGCTGGTTTGGCAAACTGACGCTGGGGCTGCTGGAATGGTTGCCCCTGCCTAGGCTGGTAGAGCTGCTGCTGTGGGGCTGGCACCTGTCGAGCCTGGAAGGGCTGCCTCTGCTGAAAGCCACCAGCTGGTGCTGGGAACCAAGTGGTTTAGTGGTGTTGCTATTCCAAGAGAAATTGCGATGCAG